CGAACCGAGTTGCATCCCCCGATAGCCCTAGCGAGCCAGAGGTAGAGCTCGAGGAAGAGTTCGAGCTCGTAGGCCGAGGCGCTTCGGATAGTTTGGCGTCCACCTCTCGTCGGGGTCAGATGTTAAACAAGTTCGGTCCTTCAACCATGACGCCCGAGGGGCTCCAATCCCTCATTACCTACTATAACTTGCCCGGGGAGTACGCTTATTTCATACTTTCGGGTAGCTTTCCTTGGGAACACGATCTTGATGAGATCGTGATATTCCGGGAGCAGCTCGCCGTGGGGCTGCGATTGCCTTTCCATCCCCTCTTTGTCAAAGTCTTGAGCCACTTCGGCGTGACGGTCGGCCAGCTTCACCCGAATTCCATTCGAAACTTGGTGGGGACAATCTCCTTATTTTGCGAAGAGAGCTTGCCGTTAGACTTGGAGATTTTTTCTTCAATCTTGATGCTTAAGAAGCAAGCGGGTCCCCTCCCCGGGCGTAGGCGGGCTTACTACCTGTCTCCTCGCCTGGGTTTTAAGCATTTACATGAGCTCCCCAACAAGGTCCCAGCATGGAAGCGGGACTATTTCGGGGTGCGAAGTGTGCTGGGGTGGCTGTTTCAGACCGGGTGGGGGATGGCCGCTCCTGACTCCGGGGTCACGCTTGACAAAGAGACGGCGAAGGGCCTCCGGCAATGGGCGCGGCTTGGGCTGAAGTGTCAACARTATCTGACGGAGGCCAAGCTCATTGCGGCCGGCCTGAGTTCGGGTAGGTTCTTCACTTTAGAGATTCTTATCTTGTTGTCTTTCTTGCTTTTTACTGATGGCGAACTTCTTTTCGTAGGTGTGATGGATTCTCGAGGGACCCGGGGTGGGCACTTGTTTCAAGGCATGAAGAGGAGAAAGCGGGTTGCCAAGCGAAGTCGCGTCAAGATGCCCCGGGATGCGGAGCCCGAGGTACTGGACTATCAGCCAGAAGATCTGCCCAGGGAGCCCGAGATGGTCCCTCCGATGCAAGAGCCGGCAGGAGGCCCTTATGCTGAGACTACCTACACAGGGGCTCCTACATACTCCGGTGCTCCAGCTTACTCAGGGTCTGCTCATACGCGAGCTGGGCCCTCGGGCTCGGGGGCCTCGGGGGATTTCAGGAGTGTGTTGTCGCTGACCCATGCTCTTCAAAAGAGTAAGGAGGCTATCTTCCCCGAGGAGGTCGCGGCATGGACTGATCTCCCTCTGCATCAAGTGGCCTGTCGTGCCGTTACCCATGCCATGGTGGTAAGTGTTCTCCCTTTTTTAGAGCTCTTTGGCTTTCGTTTTGTTGGTTCTTTTGATCACTCGGTCCCTTTTGGTAGGTGAATTCTTCTATTCGAACCATGAAAAGGAACAATACGATTGATTTCGAACCATTCCCCATGCCGGAAGCCTTAAGATACGGTACATATCTGTTGATATGGGCCAATACATGACAAAATTTTAAACCTTGGGTTGTCCCCCTCCCTATGGCCCATCCATAAGTTTTGGCCCCCTTTATAAAAAATTCCTGACTCCGCCCTTCAATATCACATAATCATTATAAATTCATAAACCAACTTCTTACACATTTGACAGTTTAGTCAAATGCAATCCCAATGCAAATACAATTTACAATCAACCCAAACAATACAATATAAACTCTAAAACCCTACAACTAGCACAAGCGGCGGTCAATTCTTAAAATTTGGAGCCAACGCCTACCGAAAAACTGGTTGGAACCGGCCTTACCAAGGATAGTTTGATGCCGATTTTCAATCAACTCTAAGTAGAACTGATCCATTTGCTCATTCCTAATCTTTAATTTACTCTGCTTTAAAACCTCTTATTTCTAAGATAATTAAAGATAAACTTAATTTTACATTTAATCATTTACTAATTTTATCAAAATTTATAAAACAAAAATATAAAAGACCTTCTAAAAATATGAAAACTTATTGATATTATCAAATTTTGAGTTTGAAACTCAGACCATATTCCATATATGCATTTTGTTGAGATTGAGGTGTGAAAGTTGAATCCAAATTGCAACTGATGGACGGTGTATCTGAGAACTTTTGAGCACCCTTGATTTGGTCTCATGGTGGGTCCTACAATGGGTTGGTAGTCCATACACATCGTCATCAATTGAAAGGTAAAAATAACAAAAGTAGGGACCCGGACAACAACCACCAATTATGCTTAAAAAACAATCAAACCACGTTTAACGAAAACGAGAGCGAACCTTTTTGTTGCTTCCTACAAATATGCCCCTCGGAGTCTTTAGAATTAACAAAAAGGACAACCCTTTTAATAGCTGGATGACCCAGAATTCCATATAAAAGGACGACCGACCCATCCTTCCGAGGATCAAAATGAGGATCAAGGACTCAAAGTGGGAGACTGGGAGAGAATAGATTAACCCAAAATTTTCTCTCTCCACTCTCAACTCTCAGCTCTCAAGTGGGATTTTTTTAGGATTGGAAACAAGGAGGGATATGGACGTTCGTGTAGCCAATCACGGGTTGATAGCTACTTGGGCAAGACGAATGTCGTTTAATGTAATTATGAATTGTGATCCTTCCTAGTTGCGTAGGAGGTTGATAAGTGATAACGTGGGTTGGACCCGATTTGATTGATGAGCTTACAATTCAATGATGGTCACGTTTAACCATTGATTGGTACCGAATGTGATTAATCCTGAGATGGAGTCGGATATGGGTACGGTACGGTGGTAGTGGATACCCATTTACCCGGATGCCCGACTAGTATGATATTGGTTCCATAAAATTTACATCCAGTATACTTGGTTCCAACTTGGACTACACATTGTCGTGTATTTGGAATGATAGGATTTGGAGAACCCAAATTTCTTATTAACTTTCTCTACCCGTATCCTATCCATACTACACTACAGTTCTATATCTCATAATACAAGATGGAGAATCCAAGACATCTGTGCTCTATAGTACATCCAAACCGTGCATTGGGAATATCTCCCAATGACAAATACGGGAGATGATCCCAATGCTCGCTGAGATGTGCATATCGGACACTTTGGGGCGCATATGTGAATTTATAGTTTGTTTTGAAACAGAGAATTTAAAATATAAATATTTTTTTGTCAAAATATACTAAAATCAATATTTATTGAACATCTCAAAGTGTAATGTGTTTTAAAACATCAGATATTAATGTGTTGCAAAACTTGTGATATTAAGAACCCATAACCTAATTAATGAATAGGGAAAATCTATGATGTAAAAAAGATATAGTAAGAAAAGAGTTTTGACCAATCAAAACCCACCCATGAATTTTGATAAATAACACCTGATTGGCTATCATGCTAATGATTCCAGTAGATTGGTAAGAAGTTTTTTAGATATCATATATTTTCCATATCATAGTCAAACCCGAATGAACATGGGGCACTTCTTTTATTTTGTATGTATGCAATGGAATTTAGTTTTATTATCATTCAATATTAAGTCAAAGCCAATAATAAACCTAAGGCTGTGTTTGATTACAATGTAAATAAATCTGTACTGATGTAAAATTATGACAGTGCAAATGATTTGAATATAAATTCTAACATATTTTTATTTCAAATTTTAGCTCATTTCGTTTATTGCAGCACAAATGAAAAAAAATTAAGACAAAATAAAACCTAAAACAAAATTAAACAAAAATTTACATTTTTTGTTTTCATTTACACTTCCATGGAAGTATTTGTATAATGCAAATAAAATTGCAGCCTAAGGATAGAGACGTAGAGTTGCAAATGCGTCAGTTTCAGTTAGGAAATATCAAGATCGAAATTTGATTTGTAGAGATTTGGATTTAAATTAAATCTTATCCATTGGATTCAAAATGGACTGCGATGGGATTGGCAGATTTAGATATTATACTCCATTGTTAAAATTAAATTAAAATGAGTCAAAAACCTTATATCATTAATATAATAGACTATAAATAACTTTAATATTACATTTCTTTTTCAAAGACATATTGGATTCACTTTCGATGGATTGATATCAAATCTAATTATAAACGGATCAACTTTGGATTTGTTTCATTGGATCAAATCCGAATTCAAAATCAGACAATACATGACTGACGATTATAGTCATAGTCAAGGTCAGGGTACAAATGGATCTTCACGAACCCAACTTGTTGGCAACCCTTGATATGTTAATTTGACTTTTTGACATGGCTACCTTGATCAACGGTCTTGATGATATTTCAGATGGACCCACTTGTTGGGCCAATGCCATGGTCCAAAGTCTACACTAATTGCAATAGTTCAATTATGCTGAACATAAAAACGATCCAACAGTTCTTATTGCAGGCTGCAGAGAATCATGTAGGTCCCAGTCTTGTAGCAAGCATCAGCCATCGAAATATTAAATGTACCTACATTGATTGCATCGGTTACGCAGAGAATCAGCAAGTACAAATAAGTCTGAAATGGGCCTATCTGTAAACCGTGAACTGTGATGCATTTAAAACATTCCAGCGGCCGGGAGAACTGGGTACACGTCGGATATACCATAAGAAGAGTCTTCCATCGATCCATCAAGTCAATTGTACACGTGGAGGCATGCAATGGAGCATGGACCCACATCAAATGGATGGTTGAAAATGCTTTCTTGATCGTCCTCCTCACAGCTGTGATTGAGTTGGGGTCATCTTACCAGTTACAAACCCTGACAGTTAGCATGAATTTCTATAATAAGAAACAAAAGAAAAGGACAAAAGTGTAATAACAACTGAGATGGAGGGCAAACGAATTACTCCAAATAAATATTTGGGTAACCCAGATCAAAATTTTATAGCCCCAAAGTACAGGAAAAATGCATCTAACCGTAAATTAATGTCAAATTTATGGGCAGAATGTAGTTTATAGAAAGAAGGAAAGAGATAGTAATAAGAGGCTGGGATTCAGAATTCTGCATCGGATGTATCCGTACTTCTCCGTAAATATTTTCGTTCTTTTATTATCTCTCCGTTTTCTCCCTCTAACTGCATTAACTATCTACACAAACTAGCAACAGTAAAAAAGCTGAGGCATGGAGGGAGAGAGAGAGAGGGAGGACTTGAGTTGAGTGAGGAGCTTCCCGAAGAGAGAGGACGGAAAAGGGGGAGAGAGAGAGCTTCACTGAAATATATAGAAATTTATAAAATAAAAGTACTAAATTATTAAGGGCAGTAGAGCAGCCCCTCCTCCATGGGCGGGAATAAGCCAATAAGGGAAGCTGCGTTTGAAAAAGAGAAAAAAAAAGTCTGAAAAGTTTTGATTAAGAGCTTCTTGAGTCATCCTAAGTCACATGCTCTTCCCTCTTTGCATTTGAAAACAAAGGTAAAATTAATTGAAAATATGCCATTTTCGTTCCTCCTTCATCTTCGTCTTTACTGACATTCCACAGATTTTTGCAGAGTTTTAATGGTTTTTATATTCTGCAACAATCTTCTATTCTGAATTATTTTAGTTGGTTTCCTTCGATCGTAGGTTTGGGTTGGTCCCCAGTCAAAGCCTCCAAGGTATTTGATTTAAGTCTGGTTTCTTACTGATTTGTTACCTTTTTCTTATCCACTTTTTTTAGCCTCTTATTTTTTTTTTATTTATTATTATTTTTTTATGGGTAGTCCAGTTTTTGGAGTTTCTGAACTCGGTATTCATGATTTCTGAGAGTTTCTTCGAGCATCCGAGGTGTGTCTACTTGGTTGACAATCGATACTTTCTTAATTTCAATTTTATTTCTTTATCAATTTTTTGTTTTTGAGATTTGGTAGGTTGGTTTGGATGATAAATTCTCATTTTTCTTTTTCGACTAATGGGTTGTCAATGATTTACGATGTAAACGGTTTTGAGCCACCATTCCGGGTGTTTGGTTTCATATTTATCTCTCCCTTTTTTTATCTTCGTCTTGATATTTTTTTTGTTTTATTTTCTTTTTGGAAACTTTTTTGGGTTTAGAAAGATTATATTGCTGTTGGAGGTTGTTACTAGGGTGGATTTGAAGCAAAGCTGAGAGAATGATGAGCAGCAGCTCCTTTTTGATTGAATAGTTGAGGTTGTGGATGAGGGAACGGATTTCTTAGTTTTAGGGTTTGATTGACGTTGCTTGGAGTTCTATTAAGTGGATATTTTTGCTTTTCTTCAACTGGGTTTTTGTTGATGATTACATTTTCCGGTTCTAGTATTCTTCAGTTTTGATTCCTTTGAAGAATATATATTGGCATTTCGTTGCTTTCGATTTGATGGTGTTTGCTAGTTATCTTTCGAAGAATGGTAGGAATGTATGCTCAAATGATGTCTTTGTGAAGTTCTAAAGTGGCTCTGCATCATTAGATTGGGGGATGGATCGCCGGAGCTGGTTATGGAGGAGGAAGTCTTCTGAGAAGAGTCCAGGTGAAACGGAAAGTTCGGGATCAATATCTTCTCATTCTGAAAGATATTCTGATGACCAGGTAGGTCTTATTTTTGATTCCTGGAGTTCTAATTCTCTCTTGTTTTCTATTTCCTTCTTTTTTCTCTCCTGTTTTTTTCTTCCCCTCCCCCCCTCCCCTCATTTTTAGCTGTACAATTGTACATTATAAGATCTTGGGTTGTCTGGAATGTGAATTATCTGTGAGGCGCTCCTCCCGACTCTCATCTGATAACCCAACAACAACATGAACTAGTAATCCTCTTCTTATCTCTCATTAAATCACCGTGACATGGTTTGCTTGTTATCTGATTCTAAAAAGAAATATCGACTGTGCTTAAGTTCAATTAAAACACAGTAAAAACTATACGTAGGTTTAGAAATTGTGGTCTTGCTGAAGTTTCTATTAATATAAAGGAGTTCCTGCCGATTCTTGGATGCAATTTATCATCAAAATGAAGAGAAAATCAATTAGAGACCACTCTCTGAGAAGGGCATTTGACTTTACATATTTACTAAAAATTACTGGGAAACTATTGATGTTGTTAAGATTCAATGTTAAGGCTACTTGAATTTTTATGATCTAATACAGAAACTATGAGAAAGAGGATAAACTGATATCAGTTTGCTGATTTCCTGGATTGTCTGTGTAATTGTTGACTTTTTGGATCATACAGAAACTATGAGAAAGAGGATAAATTTCTGATTGCATTGCCCAACTCTAGATGAACATAGGATACTTTTTGGATCAATAGCGAATATGGGATAGCACCCTTATGCAATGTTCGCCCCAGCTATCTGGAAGTTTGGGAGCAGAGGACTGGATATGGTGGACCTAATCTATGGTGTTTTCTCACAAAGTAGCTTCTCTCAGACTTGAACCCACATTCTCATGCTTGTCAGCCTGAGACTTTCCTATTGCACCATGTATTGATCCCTTTTTGGTAATCTTTTTTTTGGATTGGTAACAAAGCTTTATTGTTATTTAAGAAAAATAATGTGTTACCAGTAAAAATAATGTATCTACATGGTTTATAGTTTCCCACTGGTAGGTTGAATCATGATGCCTATCCCCTTAATAAATAATTACATCTAAGGATGAGACATAGCATCCCTTTTGTGATAATCTTAGATAAGGAGTAAAAGCATCTTCAAGGCTCAAGCAACAATTTAAAATGTATGTACTATGTAGTTGTCAATCCTCAATGATTCTATTATTGAACTATGTGATATTTTCTGTCTAAGAATAAGCTCACAAGCACTTTTATTTGATATTGTTTTCATAATGAAAGGAATGAATCAAGAATGGTGGGAACATGAATAGTTACTGATAATCTTCCCCAAATCAGTTTAAAATTCATATCAATACATAGAAAATCAACATATTCATGTAAAGAAAATAAAACTCAGAAAATATAGGGGCCGAGTCCTTCTATTATCCTTGAATAAGAAGAAAATAAGAGAACATAAGAAAAGAATAAAAAGATAACAATACTTTTTTCTTCAGGGATTCAACATGGTGTCTACTTTCTTTATTGTTGATAAAATAACAAATATGAAAATAATAAAAAGAAACTAGTATATTGTTGTTGGATTGAAGTGTTTTATTTTTTTGTTAGATTGCTGTCAGCCTAGAGTTTTCTCACAAGCATAGTGAGAGAGAAGAGAGGAGAAGAGAAGGGGAAGAAAGATGTGTGAGAGTCAAAAAGTTGGACTGGTGGCGCCTAACTTCTCTTTTATAATAATATGATGTAACAAATAAAAAAGGAAATTACAAGTAGGTCCCTGGTGGCCCACCCTAAAAATATAACTTAAATAAAAGAAAAGAACATGCTGACAACAATCTAACAGCAGAAATAAAACACTTCAATCCAACAACACTCCCCCTCAAGTTGGGTTGAATGTATCTAATTATCTATCATGCCCAACTTGTTACATAGTTTATTGTGCCGCAAGTATGGAAGCCCTTTTGTGAGAACATCAGCAAGTTGCTCATTGGATTTGACATAAGGAGTACAAATTTTTCCCTTTTCCAATTTTTCTCTTATGAAGTGTTTGTCCACTTCAATGTGCTTGGTCCTATCATGTAGGACAAGATTGCTAGCAATGTTGATACCTGTCTTATTGTCACAGTAGAGGGACATTGGATTGTGAACAGTAACCCCAAGTTCCCCTAAAAGGTTCTTCAACCAAAGAACTTTAGCCACCCCATGTGCCATAGCCCTATACTCCGCTTCAGCACTTGACCTTGCAACTACGTTACTACACTTTGTTTCGTACTTATCCAGGTCACTAGATTTCCTCCTACAAAAGTACAATACCCACTTGTGGACTTTCTATCATCCACAACACCTGCCCAGTCAACATCTGTATAGACTTCCACTCCTAGATGATTATGTTTGCTGAATAGCAACTCTGTTCTTGGATACTTCTTCAAATACCAAAGAATCCTCTTTGCTACCTCTATGTGTGGTCTCTTAGGGGAATGCATGAATTGGCTCAGGACCCCAAGTGAATAAGCAATGTCTGGACGTGTCATGGACAAATAAAACAACCTTTCCACTAACCTTTGGAACTGTTTCACATCTTCTAGTGGTTCACCATCACAATCTCCCTGTTTATGATCAACATCCATAGGGGTTGTTGGTTTTGCACCTAACTTGCTTGTGTCCCAGTGTTTTAAAAGCGCAAGGTCCAATTTGCGTCTGAGGCACAAGGCGCAAGGCGAGGCACACGCCTTTTTAAGCAAGGTGCAAAATTACAAAAAAAAGCTAAAAAATAAAAAAAGTCGGAAAATTCAAAAAAATGCCAACAAATTTAATTAATTGAAAAAATAAAAAATATTAAACATAATGTTAATAAAAAATATGAACTTAAATTTTAAAATAAATGTTTTAAAAAACCTATTATCTAAAATTAAAATACATAAACATAACATGTAAAGCGTATTCAAATGAAAATTTAAAAATAAAAGCAAACATATAAAGCATTTTCAAGCATGTAAAACCCACAATCTCTAATTGCATTGCTTCAAGTAGCTAATGTGATGTAAAACATATTTCATTCTTGATTCTATGAGTTGCCTTTGTACCATGCCTGGGCTGAGGTGCAAGGCACATGCCTAGGCACACCAGGCGTGCGCCTTTTGAAAGGGGTGCGCCTACGACCTGGGCGAGGCGCATACCCCAAAATGCGCCTCATTGTGCACCTAGGTGTGCTTTTTAACAGGTCTAGGATATACTTCTAAGAAATGAAGATGCCCCTTTTTGAGCGGGTAACTTCAATTCCTAGAAAGTACTTTAGGGGTCCCAGATCTTTCACTTCAAATTGAGAGGCAAGGAATTCTTTCAACTTTTGTATTTCTGTTCTCCAGTTTCCTGTAATGATGATATCATCTACGTACACTATCAACACAACCACTTGTTCCTGACATCTCTTCACAAAGAGAGTGTGATTAGACATCAGACTGACATTATTTGAACCCTACTTGCTGAATCGCCATATGAAATTTAGTGAACCATGCTCTAGGAGATTGTTTTAAGCCATAGAGGGACTTTCTTAGCTTGCACACCTTATTTTCACTTCCTTTGGCACAAAAACCTGGGGGTTGAACCATATACACCACCTCCTCCAGATCACCATTTTAAAAGGCATTCTTTATATCCGGTTGATGCAATTCCTAGTCAAGGTTTGCAACTAATGATAAAAGAACTCGAGTTGAGTTCATCTTAGCTATTAGAGCAAACGTCTTATCATAGTCAACACCATAGACTTGAGTGTAATCCTTTAGCTACCAGCCTTGCTTTGTACCTTTCAACTATCCCGTTTGCCTTGTGTTTCACTGTAAACACCCACTTACACTTCACTTGGTCTTTCCCTTTTGGAAGATCCACCAACTCCCATGTTTGATTCTTATGGAGGGCATTAATCTCCTCCTTCATAGCATTTGTCTATTCATGATATTTTAAAGCCTTTGCCACATTTCTAGGTATGGGGATGCTATCAACTGCAGATAGGAAGGCACAATGAGAGGGGGAAATATGGTCATAGGAAACATACCTATGTGTCTCATGAATATGCAGCCGAGCTAGTAGGCGGGCTCTCTGAGGAGGGGGAGAGGGGAAGGAAGGATTGTGGGAAGGTGCGGGAAGAAAGGTATAGAAGTGGACAAGTGTGGGAAATCATTGAAAGAGTGTTTAAGGATGTGGAAGGGCAGCTGAT